TTATGGACACATCTATCGACTCAACGCTCGACTACACGTCCAAAGAGAAACTACTCAAAAGATATGGCGAGAGTCGGTCTCAAGAGAGAAGTTCGTCGAGAACTTCACGTCGAGTCAAGTTATACGACGAGAACGAGAAGTTTGATTACAATCACTTCGCGAAGATTCCCGCCTCAGCCGCCAAATCGCCCGGAATGAACCGTAAGGTTACGTACGATCGCCGCTCGCCCTCACCGTCGCCCTTAGACCCGAGAACCCCGTCTCCGATCCACACAATCAATATTCCGCCCAAAACTATTGAGACTAAGGCTGTGCCACAAATCATAATAGAAGAGGATGGCAAACATCACTGCAAATACCACAGCCATCACTTGGATCACGAGTACTGTCCGCCGCCAGTTAGGGGTCCCTGCGCTGCCTGTGGACAGTATATTGTTGGCAAGGTTAGTTTGTAGCACTTTACAGTACCTATTTAACTTATAAAGTAGATTTTATTTTTAAAAATCGATCATATTTTAAAATACAATATTAATTAATGAGTAAATAAATATTTTATTAGTTTGATTATTTCCTCCTTTTAAACCGTATATTTGTTTGTTTGTATAATAATAACCCGATTATTAATGAATATATTTCTTTTTTAATATACTATTAAATGGTTTGTAAATATGTGTTCCGCAAAATTGTTAGGATAACCCTCTATTATGTTAGTAATTGGCATATGAGCTAACCTTGCTCTCATTACAGAATTCGAGAAGTTAATATATTATACAAATACTAATCAATTACTGTAATTCTTAGTGAAAGTGTTTTTGAACTAAATTTTTTGAAAATATTTACATTATATGAAGAAAAGGAGCCAAAATTTTTAGTCAAAAATACTTTCAAAACTAATACTAATTTATGATATTATTATTGAAAGACAAACTTAAAATTAACCCTTTAGATAAGTTTACAAAAATTTTCATTAGCTAAAGATTATTATTAGCTTAAGTTTATTACAAATTATAATATATAATTGAAACTTACATATAATTCTTTAATATACTCTCACAATCCATGATTCAAGTTTACATAATTGAAATATTCGATAAAATATAATAATACCAATAGATATAGAATATTCTTAATAGTAAATCACAGGATAAGTAGTACTCATAGACTAAACATCATGTTAAAATATAACAGACTGAATATATATTATTTCACACATGATTACGGGAGGGAACCTTATAAACGGGATTCTATAAATATTAATATCAATGTTAAAACTAAATTTAAAATACTAATTAAACTAAAGATACAATCAGACAATATTACACATATTACTTTATTGATAATGTTAATATTGGTCAGCATTAGAGATAAAAACTGATTTCAATTTAATAGATTTTCTTTGAACTGATTTATAAATTTATTAAAATACAAACTGTCCATGCCTGAAACTGTAAATTAATTAATCAATCACATATAAAACAAGGATCACACAGCGATACTATATTAACCTTAACCACAATTCGGAGGGGTAGCCAACGATGCTATAAACCACATTATTGATATCTGAATTGTGGTTAAAATAAATGCTAAAATATACATTTGTATGTCTATAGCTATTGAAAGTGATGGACGAGATGTTTCATCCGGAGTGCTTTCGGTGCACTAATTGTTCGACTACTCTAAACAACGAGAACTATAAGCCACACGAAAACAAACCATATTGTGTGCCCTGTTATGAGAAGCTGTTTGGGCCGCCCTGTACTGTGTGCAAGAAGTCCACCCAAGATGTAACCATTTATATGAATGTTAACTTACGTGTATATAAGATCTAACCATCAATTAATTACAGAATCGGTATCACGTGTTGAACCGTATTTGGCATCCGGAGTGCTTCTGTTGTGTTGAATGCACTAAACGGTTGACTCCCGACAACTTTGTGGAGAGAATGGGCTCTCCTTATTGTAAAGATTGCTACCATAAGCTGTATTCGCCCAAATGTTGCGCTTGTAATCTTCCCATTAAAGATGTGAGTTTTATATGAGATTTATGCTTATTTTATGATTATTAATTATGATTATTACTTAAATAGAAAGCGATAAATGCCCTTGGCAAAATGTGGCACACATATTGCTTTAAGTGCACCACTTGTGGTATTCCTCTCGAAGAGCGCAATTTCTACGAGAAGAATGGGAAACCTTATTGCGAAAAG